AGAGTTGTCATACCATTGTTCTTCCCATGGCATCACACTGCCCACCACATTCCTTAGACTCCCAAGAAAAGTCCTGAGCCAGACGTGGGGGTGCAGTATCTCCCCTCGCAGTGGCTGGGGTCAGGCCTTGGACCTTTTACTTCACCAAAACCAACCAAGACTTTTCTCAGCACAGTGCTTTGCCTGTCTGTAATCATGGCCTCGAATTATCTGCCCTAAGCAGTCCCTGGGGAGGCTTTGTTAGTACCAGCCCTCAGTGGTGCCCATTAATACTCCAAGTCACTTCAACGTTTCCTTCTGACTTTACTTGCTCAAGTGGTTACATCACTCTCCTCTCAGTACCTGAGCTTCATCGACTCAGCACCAAAATGCACCATGGAACTCATTAAAATGCAGAAACTCCTAACATCTCTTCCATAGTTTTCTTCAAGCCTTCATGCCTTGTGCAGCTACTTACAGATCTTGCATGGCGTACTTAAGGAAGAATATTTCATAAAGCAGCTAATAAAAAATATTTTCTGTTTTTAAAGAGTGATTTTTTCTGCATTTTAGTTTTGAGAATCATTCTCCTATTGCTATTCATCCATGGTGACTTCTTTGGAGACCTGCATCGGGCGGAAAAACAGAGGATAGAGGTCTGACTCCTCCACTGCCAGCAGTGGTCTTTGTCCCTGTAACTGCAGCCCAGCTCACACATGAAACCCTTTCTAAGACAAATCGGATTCCATCAAAAAACTAAAATATAAAATAAAATAAAATAAAATAAAATAAAATAAAATAAAATAAAATAAAATATTAATATTGAAATGACGTCTGCAATCTGAGAAATTCAGTTTGAATATCAGTAGACACCTGGACTTTCATGATTCTCTTGGGTCTCGTGTGGCAAACTCAGGAAGAAAACTAAAGAAAATATATCTTCACGTGGCTGTAGCTGCACCCATGAGCTTGGCCTCTTTTGGGAAATTGCCCCTTCCAGCCACGGAAACCTAAATTGAGTAAAGTGAAAAGACCTGCCCAGTCAATAGAGTAGGGCAAAGTCCTACTTCCTGTGCTATAGATGCAGAAGGCAAAAAGAATTGCATTGTGCCTGACACTACTCTGGGACGTGTCACCCAGGTCAGGCAACTTTACCTTAGTGCTGACAAGTCCATCACTATAACACATTACCAAGCTCTACATCTATGCTTGGGCTCTAAGGTAATAACATAGGTATTATAACATAATAACATACAACATAGCATAGAGGTAATAACATTCATGCAATGCCCGTAGTGCAGTAACACTGACTTAACACAGTTACATATGGCCCTTACCTTACTTAAGCCAGTAACTTTAATGCTAAATGCTACTACAACAAACTGAAAGAAATCAGTTTTCTCTCTTGATAACCATAATCCTTTCACTTAACTCATACATTAAAATGTCTTATTTAACCCTAGGCTCCTTGACAGACAAAAAACACCGGTAAACCACAGAGCTTGTCCATACCTTAACCACAGACATGACAGCACAAACAGAACACCAAACAATCCCACTAAAACTTTGCTGAATCTCTAATCCAGAAAGTGAAAAAGAGATATCAAGGGGGCTAGAGAAAGATCATCTCTACCTCAGGATCTCCTCCTCTAGCAGGAGGAATGTGACTGTGACAGTGACTGTGAGGTCACTTCTGTCTCTGCACTTGATAGGGCAGCAGCAGGAAGGTGTCACGGAAAGGGACTGGGAGGTCACTTGTGTCTGGAGGTGGCAGGTCAGCCTTGACATAGACCTGGGATCTGGACTTCTGGGCTGACATCTGGCAGTAGCCCTGCTAGGCCTGCAGAAGGCACCTGCTTGGCATGCTGACTGGGGGATCCCCTCTGCCTCCAGAGCCAGGAGGACCCAGGCAGAAAGAAGGCCCCAACATGGGTTGTCCTGTCCCTTCTGCTTGAGTCCATGACTGCACAGCAGCAGGCACAAGGCTTGGCTGTGTGTAGCCAAGAAGCTGCAAGGCCAGCAGAAGGCCCCTGGCTTGGAAGGTGCTACTGAGGTGACTTGTGTCTGGTTAGCGGAATGGATGCAAGAAGGCTGATGGTTTGGGATGCCTACTTCAGGAATGTTTTCCATCCTGATGGAGCTTTCTGTGGTAGTAGGAAAGAGCAGGAGAGAAAAAACTGCCACAAAGCGTGCCCTGGAATGTTGGCACTGGCCATGAGGATGAAGAAATGTCCAGGGGAACAACTGGTTTTGATGCTAGTAACAGAGGCAAAGAAGGCATTAACCTCAGCCTTTACCTCATCCCTTGTCAACAGGTTTTCCCCCAAAAATCCTATAAAGGATTATGATTCTCCCTAATCCTCCTTCATTTAACGTATTTTTTTATTGTTATTTTATTTTTTTATCGTCTTTGACAATAATAGATGGATTGAGATCCAGCTAAGCTTTGGCCCTTCTAATTTTGACCTGCACAGCCCCATAACATTCAGAACACAGCTCCAGATAAACTGACAGCATGCATGAGAAGAAAGCACAGCAAATGTGGATCCTGACAGCCTTCCATCCCCTACTCTTCTCTGGCTGTGCTGCAATTCCATTCAGATGGTTACTCCTGAATTATCCAAATTTCCCTGCAACCATTGCTGTGCTGCTGTCTGGTCAGAGATAGCACAATCACATGAAGGTTGAACTGTCTGCCTGCTGACCTTAACAGCTGATAGAATGGAGCATCACTGTGGGTGAACCTTGAGAAACTGCAGGATTTTGACTTCAGAAAACTTTTGACTTTAACATGGAGAAGAGCCCAGTCCTGTACCAGAGGAAAAGGAACCCCACACATCATTGCAGACTGGGACCCTGCCGAGTGAGTAGTGGCAAGGAGGATGAGGTCCTGGGCACCATGAGGGATGCCATACGAGCAGTGGTGCCTCCTCACAAGGAACCAGACCAGCTTCCTACAGAGCTGTCTTACGAGGAGCATGGCCACCAAGAAGATCTGAGTTATCATATTCAGCTCAGACCCGGTGTGACACTGCATGGACAAGTGCCTACAACTAGCTGGTAAAGAGGTGAAGGTCTGGGAGTCCCTAGGACAGCCTGGTGTGGAGAGGAGCAAGGGTTTTACCAAGGCTGAAAGTCCCAACACTGATGCCTGACTGGAAGTCACTGCTACTGAGGCCTGTGAAGAGACATCTTGATAATGAGCACAAGGTCCTCATTATCTCTGTGCATGCACCCATGAACCAGGCAGGAGATGTACCATTTTTCTGCACTTGGCCACACACATCCCCATCTCCTACTGCCCCACAAAGAGCCCTGAGCAACCAGTCAAGGGAAAGGATCTCCCTTCCCAAGGGACAGGTTAAGGCCTGGCCCTTGTGCTTGCTGACACACATCCAGTTTTCCTACACATCAGTGTCACCTTCACATTGCCTTTGTCTCCTTGTCCTCACTGCCTCCAGGGTTCTGCTCTAACGAGCTCCAAGGGAGGCTGTGTCAGTGCTGGCCCTCAGGGGGACACTGCAGGAAACTTGCCTCTGACTTGCACTTCTGGAGAGATGTCTTCAATTGTCTCTGAGTGCCTGAGGTTCGTGGGCTCATCAGCCAAGCCCCCAGAGGGGTGATTGCAGTGCCTTGGGCTGGTGCTGTGCTGCTGAGCTGGGCCGGGCTCATGGGACAGAGAGAGCTCGTGGCAAGAGGGCCCCGGTGCAGAGAGACAGCTGTGCCCAGGAGCAGCTCCTCTGCACAGCGCAGCAGGGCTGGGGGCACTGCCTGCAGAGACAGAGTGCTTAAAGGCAGGCAGAAGTGGCAGGATGCACAGAGCTCACTGGGGGAGAACACTTCCCAGCCCTGCACCCGGTAAGTCTCTGGCTGGGGGGCAATGCAGCTGCAGTTCCTGGAAGAATAAGAAGCTGGGGTTGCAGGCAGGGCTGCCCAGGGCTGTGGTGCAGAGCAGGGGCTCTGCACTCAGCCTGCCCGGGGAGCCCAGGGGCTTGGGTAGGGGAAGGGCAGAGCAGGGGCTGCCTGCAAAGAGAAGGCACTTTCTGCACTCTCTGCCTGCCTCTTCCTGCTCTGATTGTGGGGCAGGCTCTATGTTAACTGGGTAGTTGGATTTGCATGGGTGACTGAGCTTCCTATTCCATTGAATTTGGACACAAACAAGTCAGTGATGAACCTGAGAATATCCCTTCCCTTCTCTCTGCTTACAGACTGCACCAGGGCTTTTCTGAGCTGTTCTTTAGGATGTGCAGGAAGGGGGATGTGGTTTTTCAGCACAACCTCTGTGTGCATCCATCCCCCAGCTGAGTGCTGCAAGCAGCCAGCAGCTGGGCACTAGGGGATGGACAGAGCAGCCCTCCTGGATGTGACCTCTGGTTAAGGTGTGCCTCCACAGCAACGACATTAACCATTTCACTGTATTAGATGTGTCCCACTGGGGACTGATGGCAGAAGTGACTGCTGTGTACAGGACACTCAGCAAGCACAAAGCAGGGCTCCAGACAAGGAGATAGACAAAGGTCCTCTTGGAAATGGGGAATGTAAGGCTTTCACTGGGAATTTTAGTCAGACATTTTACTCATAACAGTCTATACATATATATTTATTTCTCATTTCGCAGGTTCTATGTCCAAAGTCAGCAAATGCCCAACGTCAGCTCTGTGAGTGAGTTCCTCCTGCTGGCATTCGCAGACACACACGAGCTGCAGCTCCTGCACTTCGCGCTCTTCCTGGGCATCTACCTGGCTGCCCTCCTGGGCAACGGCCTCATCCTCAGCGCCGTAGCCTGCCACCACCGCCTCCACACCCCCATGTACTTCTTCCTCCTCAACCTCGCCCTCCTCGACCTGGGCTGCATCTCCACCACTCTGCCCAAAGCCATGGCCAATGCCCTCTGGGACAACAGGGCCATCTCCTATCAAGGCTGTGCTGCCCAACTCTTTCTCTTTGCTTTCTTCCTTGAAGCAGAGTATTCTCTTCTCACCGTCATGGCCTACGACCGCTACGTTGCCATCTGCAAGCCCCTGCACTACGGGAGCCTCCTGGGCAGCAGAGCTTGTGCCCAGATGGCAGCAGCTGCCTGGGGCAGTGGCTTTCTCAATGCTGTCCTTCACACGGCCAACACATTTTCCCTGCCCATCTGCCATGGTAATGTTTTGGAGCAGTTCTTCTGTGAAATCCCCCACATCCTCAAGCTCTCCTGCTCAGATGAATCTCTCAGGGAAGTTGGGGCACTTGTGTTTAGTGTTTCTTTAGCCTTTCTTTGCTTTGTTTTCATCATGTTATCCTATGTGCAAATCTTCAGGGCAGTGCTGAGGATGCCCTCTGAGCAGGGCCGGCACAAAGCCTTTTCCACGTGCCTCCCTCACCTGGCTGTGGTCTCCCTCTTTATCAGCACTGTCATGTTTGCCTATCTGAAGCCCCCCTCCATCTCTTCCCCATCCATGGATCTTTTTGTGTCAGTTCTCTACTCAGTTGTTCCTTCATCAGTGAACCCCCTCATCTACAGCATGAGGAACCAGGAGTTCAAGGATGCAGTAAGGAAACTCTTTGGATACATGCTTCTTTGCAATCAATAATGTTTGTGAGTGCCCTGATTATTTCAGGAACTGTGAGGAAAAATTTTTGTTACTATATTTCTCTATAAATATTAAAATATAAATATTTCTCTACAAATTCTTTCTTTTGATTTAAATTATGTTATCCTTAACCTGCTACCTGATTTTCCTATTTCTATTTTTTCATTTACAGTGACACAATCATCTAATTATTGAAAGAAGATGGTCATGTAGAGAAACACAATAAAAACAAACAAAGAATGAAAGAAAGAAAAAAAAAACAAAATATCAGAACTACACTGTTATCAGCTGCCATCTCTTCCCATCCCCTCTGGAGCTGGGGGAGGAGCCCCAGCACACAGGAGGGGCTCGGGGCCAAGAGCCCAGCTGCCACATGGAGTTTGGGTCGGGGCTGCTGCTTCCCTGGAGCCATGGCCATGGCCAGCAGCAGGACGTTGCCTTTTCACTGCTGCTCTCTTTTGGCTTCCACATTGTGGTTGTTGTATTCTCGTAAGCCCTGATATCTTGTGTACCTTGGTGACAGTCCTGTTGTTTCTACAGTGGCATCCCTGTGACTGCAGGCAGCAGCAGGCACTGTGCAGCCATGGGTCACAGCTGCCTCCCTGCTAGCACCACAGTAACAAGAGGGTCTTGCTCAGGGCAAACCCAGAAGCCTGGATGCCTCTCCAAAGCTGCTGACAGGAATACAGCCAAGAGGTTGCTCCCTGCTCTTCTGTTTTCTGGGATTCTAGTGCCGGGTTCTTCACCTGGGGCTCAACAACCCCAAGCAGAACTACAGGCTGGGAGAGGAGTGGTTGGAGAGCTGCCAGGCAGAGAAGGACCTGGGAATGATGGTTGATAGTCGGCTGAATATGAGCCAGCAGTGTGCCCAGGTGGCCAAGAAGGCCAATAGCATACTGGCTTGCATAAGAAGCAGTGTGGCCAGCAGGGCTAGGGAGATGATCGTCCCCCTGTACTCAGCTCAAGTGCTGAGAGAAGATTGATGTAACCACTTGAGAAGCTAAAGTCAGAAGGAAAAGCTGAAGTGACTTGGAGTATTAATGGGCCCCACTGAGGGCTGTTACTAATGAAGCCTCTCCAGGGCCTTGTTAGGGCAGAAAATTGGAGACCATGATTACAGACAGGCAAAGCACTGTGCTGAGAAAAGTCTTGGTTGGTTTTAGTGAAGATGAAGGGCCAAGGCCTGACCACGGCCACTGGGAGAAAAGACCCTGCACCCCCCTGTCTGGCTCAGGGCTAGTCTTGGGGTCTGTGGGATGTGGTGGGTACTGTGATGCTACTAGAAGACCTTCATTATGACACCTCCGCAGCCCTGCACAGTGCTGCAAGGAAGCAATGCCAACAGTCAGCGTGCCAAACAGGTGCATTCTGCTGGCCTAACAGGGCCACTGCCAGATGTCAGCCCAAAAATGCAGATCCCAGGGAGAAGTCAAGGGTGACCTGACACCTACTTAGGACACAAGTGACCTCACAGTCCCTTTGCGTGACACGTTCCTGCTGCTGCCCTATCAAGTGCAGAGACATAAGTGGCCTCACAGTCACTGCCACAGTCACATTTCTGCTGCTGGGGCAGGAGATCCTGAGGCAGAGCTGAGCTCATCACAGCATTCCCACCCATCTCCTTCTTGTGGCCTACAAGCTGATCAGATCAGGGTGAGCAAGAGAGTAAAGGTAAAGGAAAGGGGCTATGGGCTGAGTTTTGGCTTGAAGAGATACTTACACCTCTCCTGGCCAGGCTTCTCCTGACTTCCCCATATCAGTCATCTTCCTAGGGACAGCTTTCTGATGGCTTTCATGATCTCAGAGTATCTGTCTCATATCTGCTGGCTACTCCTTTCTTGAGACTGACGTGGCACCTAAGTCAGGATGAAAAGTATCCCAAAGGCTGTAGGCGAACTCTGCACAATATGCCCAGCATTTCTTGTACTACCCCAAAAATTTTGTTTCCTGATTTCAGCTTCTGGATATGGAATGGTTTCTGTGTACCCAGGCTATCTTTTTTTGAACCATTATGCAGTTTGCCCCAAGCATCTCAGAGGCAGTGGCCTCCTCTGTGTCGAAAACTGAAAGCAGTCCTAAAGGATGACTTCAGGCAAAAGCTGACACCTCTGACATGACAACCCCTATCCAAGACCTCTTCCTCTATGCAGCCTACCAGGTACTTAGAAGGAGCTGATCTCAGAAACTACATGCACAGCAAGTGCCTTCTGCTGCCTTACCATGGACACTGGCAGATGTGAGCCTAAAGGCACAGATCCCAGCCAGGAGTCAAGGGTGACCTGTCAGCTACTTCAGAAAGACCTCACCTCACAGGCCATTTAACAGCCATTCGCTTCCTGCTGGACTTAGTGTTTCTGAGGCACCACTGAGCTTATAATACCACACCTAAAAAACACCCCCTTTTTGGGCCCGGACCTGCCCAGGTAGAAGTGATCTGGTTGTGATCCTCCAAGCTCATGGCACACCCGTTGGGCTCCCAGCCTCTCTGACACACAGGAGCCAGTTCTGTGCCAGTCCTTTGAGGTGCTAGGGCAGGAGGGACCTTGCAGCCAATGTTCCAGCCCTGTGCCTGTTGGCGGTCTCTCAGCTCCTAGTGCAGACTGAAGAACTTGTTTGTATCCAGAAGCCATGAGCCAAAAGGTGGCATAGAAGGCACTCAGGGGAAGCGCCCTCTCAGCCCCAGCCCCAGCCCGAACCCCAACTGGTGGTGCTGCTCTGCAGAGCGAGGGGGCTGTGGTGCCTGTGGCACAGGGGCTGCAGAGCTCTCCTCTGCCTGCTCACAGCAGATTGAGCACTTGAGCTCTAGACAGTCCACATGGGACACAACATGGTGCTTAGCAGTAAATATTGGCGTCATCTTTCTAAGACAAGCTAACAGTTTCTCAGAGACTGGCAGCACAGCGGTCTGCTTGTGGGTATTGATGAGTTACTAGATATTCCTTATGTTTGGGGTTTGTGAGGAATGTGTTAACAATTCGTGTCCATAAAGAACAGTCCTGTCTGCCTCTGGGCCCTGCACTGGCAATTTAATTCTTGAACCACAGATGCAGTGTGTCCCAGTCTCCCCCTCATTCTACTCAATTTATCACGTCTTCAGAAAACACTCCCTAAATTTATGAACCTGTTTGCTTTTGTTATTCCGGACTTCTATTTCTAACAGTTACAGCCTTTTTTCCTGTCTTCTTTGAGATTAACTTAACACTGCTATAGATGTGTCTCTGAATGGCTGGGGAAGAATGTTTTAATTACTCGTGAAGTGTCAAATAAGAAAGCTGTTTGATGTCTGGGAGTTTCAGACCAACTGATAACAACTAGTGACTGTTATGGGATACTATGTGGATCTTTGGTATCTGGCTAGGAGGCCGAGAGATTAAGAGGAAGGAAAAAGAAGCTGAAGGACGGCTGGGAGACAAGACTTGCAGAAAATGTTCTATAAACTTGGTATGCTGCCGAGTGAGTACAAAGGTGAGAGGAAGACTACGAGCCTTCATCATGAAAGACCCCTAGAGACCCCCAGAGGAGACTGATACGCATGCTCCAGTAGGAGGGACTGGACCCCGGAAGCTAATTATAGAATCATAGAATCATAGAATATCCTGAGTTGGAAGGGACCCTTAAGGATCATCAAGTCCAACTCTTGACACCGCACAGGTCTACCCAAAAGTTCAGACCATGTGACTAAGTGCACAGTCCAATCTCTTCTTAAATTCAGACAGGCTCGGTGCAGTGACCACTTCCCTGGGGAGCTTGTTCCAGTGTGCAACCACCCTCTCTGTGAAGAAATTATAATTAATTATAGAATCATAAAATCATAGAATATCCTGAGTTGGAAGGGACCCTTAAGGATCATCAAGTCCAACTCTTGACACCGCACAGGTCTACCCAAAAGTTCAGACCATGTGACTAAGTGCACAGTCCAATCTCTTCTTAAATTCAGTCAGGCTCGGTGCAGTGACCACTTCCCTGGGGAGCCTGTTCCAGAGTGCAACCACCCTCTCTGTGAAGAACCCCCTCCTGATGTCAAGCCTAAACTTCCCCTGCCTCAGCTTAACTCCGTTCCCGCGGGTCCTGTCGCTGGTGTTAATGGAGAAAAGGTCTCCTGCCTCTCGACACCCCCTTACGAGGAAGTTGTAGACTGCGATGAGGTCTCCCCTTAGCCTCCTCTTCTCCAGGCTGAACAGGCCCAGTGCCCTCAGCCTTTCCTCGTACGTCTTCCCCTCCAGGCCTTTCACCATCTTCGTAGCCCTCCTCTGGACACTCTCCAACAGTTTCATGTCCTTTTTATACTGTGGTGCCCAGAACTGCACACAGTACTCGAGGTGAGGCCGCACCAGCGCAGAGTAGAGCGGGACAATCACCTCCCTTGACCTACTAGCGATGCCGTGCTTGATGCACCCCAGGACACGGTTGGCCCTCCTGGCTGCCAGGGCACACTGCTGGCTCATATTCAACTTGCTGTCTACCACGACCCCCAGATCCCTCTCTTCTAGGCTGCTCTCCAGCGTCTCGTCGCCCAGTCTGTACGTGCAGCCAGGGTTTCCCCGTCCCAGGTGCAGGACCCGGCACTTGCTCTTATTGAACTTCATGAGGTTGGCGATCTCCCAGCTCTCCAACCTATCCAGATCCCTCTGCAAGGCCTTTCCACCCTCAACAGAGTCCACAACTCCTCCAAGTTTGGTGTCATCAGCAAACTTGCTCAAAATGCCTTCTATTCCTACATCCAGATCGTTTATAAAAATATTGAAAAGTACCGGCCCTAAAATGGAGCCTTGAGGGACCCCACTGGTGACCGCCCACCAGCCTGACGCAGCCCCATTTACCATAACCCTTTGGGCCCTGCCCGTTAGCCAATTGCTCACCCATCGTATGATGTTTTTATTTAGCTGTATGGTGGACATTTTGTCCAGTAGGATCCTATGGGAAACCGTGTCAAAAGCCTTGCTGAAGTCCAAAAAAAT